CTGTTTCATTGTATTAAATATATCATGCCATTCTCTTCTGGCCTGTAGGGTTTCTGTCGAGAAGTCTGATGTTAGCCTGATGGGTTTTCCTTTATAGGTGACCTTTTTCTCTCTAGCTGCGTTTAAAACTCTTTCCTTGTCCTTGATCCTTGCCATTTTAATTATTATGTATCTTGGTGTTGTCCTCCTTGTATCCTTTCTGTTGGGGGTTCTGTGTATTTCTGTGGTCTGTTCGATTATTTCCTTCCCCAGTTTGGGGAAGTTTTCAGCAATTATTTCTTCAAAGAGACTTTCTATCCCTTTTCCTCTCTCTTCTTCTTCTGGTACTCCAATAATACGGATATTGTTCCTTTTGGATTGGTCACATAGTTCTCTTAGTATTGTTTCATTCCTGGAGATCCTTTTATCTCTCTCTATGTCAGCTTCTATACGTTCCTGTTCTCTGGTTTCTGTTCCTTCAATGGCCTCTTGCATCTTATCCATTCTGCTTATAAATCCTTCCAGGGTTTGTTTCACTTCTGTAATCTCCTTCCTGGCATCTATGATCTCCCTCCGGACTTCATCCCTTAGCTCTTGCATATTTCTCTGCATCTCTGTAGCATGTTTATGATTTATATTTTGAATTCTTTTTCAGGAAGACTGGTTAGGTCTGTCTCCTTCTCAGGTGTTGACTCTGTGATCTTTGCCTGTAGTTTTGCCTTTTCATGGTGATAGAGATAGTTTGCAGAGCTGGTACAAGTGACAGCTGGAAGAACTTCCCTTCTTGTTGGTTTGTGGCCTTCCTCTCCTGGGAGAATAACGACCTCTAGTGGCTTGTGCTGGGCAGCTGTGTACAGACAGGGCTTCTGCTTCCTGCCCAGCTGCTATGGAGTTTATCTCCGCTGTAGCTGTGGGCGTGGCCTGGCTTGGGCTGCTGCTCCAAAATGGTGGAGCCCCGTTGGAGGGAGAGTTGCGGGGAGGCTATTTATCTCCATAAGGGGCCTCTGTGCTCCCTGCTGCCCAGGGGGTTAGAGTGCCCAGAGAACCCGAGATTCCCTGCCACTGGACTAAGTGTCCTGCCCTGCCCCTTTAAGACTTCCAAAAAGCACTCTCCAAACCAAAACAACAACAGAAAAAAAAAAAAAAGGAAAAGAGCACGATTTCTTTGTCCTCAGGTGCCGGTCTCAGGCACCTGCTCACCTGTCTTGCTTCCCTGTTTCCCTAGTGTTGGGGTCCCTATCCCTTTAAGACTTCCAAAAACCACTTGCCATAAAAAAAAAAGAGGAAAAAAAAAAAAAACAATTGCTGCTCCCATTTCTTTGTTCTCCAGCGTCAGCCTCAGGCACCCGCTCACTGGTCCTGCCGCCCTGTTGCCCTAGTATCCAGGACCCCACGCATGCACTGTGTCTGCGCTCTGGTCTGGAATCCTGGGGCTGGGTGTTCAGCAGTCCTGGGCTCCTTCTCCCTCCCTCCTGACTCCTCTCCTCCTGCCGGGAGCTGGGGGAAGGGGCGCTCAGGTCCTGGCAGGCCGGGGCTTGTATCTTACCCCCTTCGTGAGCTGCTGGGTTCTCTCAGGTGTGGATGTGGTCTGGATGTTGTCCTGTGTCCTCTGTTCTCTATTTTAGGAAGAGTTTTCTTTGTTATATTTTCATAGATATATGTGGTTTTGGGAGGAGATTTCTGCTGCTCTACTCACGCTGCCATCTTGGCTCCAATCTGTAGTTTAATTTTAAATCTGGGATTATGATACTTTTAACTTTCTTTTTATTTCTCAAGATAGTTTTAGCTATTTGGGGCCTTTTGTGCTTTGATACAAATTTTAGGTTTATATGTTCTATTTTTCTGCAAATGCTATTGGTATTTTGATAGGGATTGCATTGACTATATAGATTGCTTTGGATAGTATGGACATTCTAACAATATTCTTCCAATCCATGGACATGTTATATCATTACATTTATTTGTGTCATTTTCAATTTCTTTCATCAGTGTCTCATAGTTTTCAGAGTACAAGTCTTTTACTTCCTTGAGTAAACTTATTCCTAGAGGTTTTATATCTTTTTTATACAATTGTAAATGGAATTGTTTTCTTAATTTCTCTTTCTTTTAGCTCATTACTAGTGCATAGAAACAAAACATATTTCTGTACATTAACTTTGTGTCCTGAAACTCTATTGGATTCATTTATTATAATAGTTTTTTAGTAAAGTCTTTAGGGTCTTCTATATATGTTATCATTTCATCTGCAAATAGTGAGAGTTTTACTTCTTCCTTACCAATTTGGATGCCTTCTTTTTTTTCTTGTCTGATTACTGTGGCTAGGGCTTCTATGTTAAATAGAAGTGGCAAAAGTGGATACCCTCATCTTGTTCATGATCTTAGAGGAAAAGCTTTCAGCTTTTCACCATGGAGTATGATATCAGCTGTGGTTTTTTCAGACATGGCCTTCATCATGTTGAGATATGTTCCCTCTATACCTACTTTGTTGAGAGTTTTTATCATAAGCGGATTTTGAATTTTGTCAAATGCTTTTCCTGCATCCATTGGGATGGTTGTATGATTTTTATCCTTTTTGTTAATGTGGTGTATCACATTTGTGGACATTGAACCTTCAGTGATCTTTTCTATTGTTTTAGTTTCTAATTTATTTCTGCTCTGATCTTTATTCTTGCCTTCTTTCTATTAACTTTCAGTTTCATTTTTTTACTAGCTCTTCTGGGTGTAATATTAGAGTGTTTGAGATTTTTCTTTTTTTGAGGTAGGCCTATGTTGCTATAAACTGCCCTTTTAAAATTGCTTTTGCTGTGTCCCAAAGGTTTTTAACCATTGTGCTCCCATTTTCTTTGTCTCAACATATTTTTTATTTCCTCCTTGATTTCTTTGTTGACCCATTGGTTTAGTAGCATGTTGTTTAGTTTCCACATGTTTCTGTTTTTTCCAATTTTTTCTTGTAATTGACTTCTAGTTTCATACTGTCATGTCAGAAAAGATGCTTGATATCATTTCAATCTTATTAAATTTAGTGAAAATTTGTGGCCTAACATGTGACCTGTCCTGGAGAATGTTCTATGTGTGCTTGAAAATAAGGTGTATTCTGCTGTTTTGGGGTGAAATGTTCTATATATATCTGTGAAATCTACCTGGTCTAATGTGTTATTTACTTATTAAGTTTCTGTCTAACTGGGGTGTTAAAGTCCCCTACTATTGTTGTATTACTGTCGATTTCTCCCTTTATGTCTGTTAATATTTGCTTTATATATTTAAATGCTCCATGTTGGGTACATAGATATTTGTTATTGTTGTATCCTCTTGTTGGTTTGATCCCTTAATCATTATGTAAAGCCCTTCATTGTCCCTTGTTGCAGTCTTTGTTTTACAGTCTATTTTGTCTAAGTATTGCTACCTCAGCTTTTTTTTCACTTTCATTTGCAGAATATCTTTTTCCACCCTTTCATTTTCAGTCTGCATGTGTCTTTAGGTCTGGAATGAGTCTCTTGTAGGAAGCATATAAATGAGTCTTGCTTTTTTATCCATTCAGTTACCCTGTTTCTTTTGATTGGAGCATTTAGTCTATATACCTTTAAGGTAATTATTGATGGGTATATACTTATTGGCATTTTGTTAATTGTGTTTTGGACATTTTTGTAATTATTCTCTGCTCCTTCTCTTGTGATTTGATGACTTTCTTTAGTGTTATGCTTGGATTCCTGTCTCTTTATTTTTTTGTGTATCTATTATAGGTTTTTGGGTTTTGGTTACCATGAGGTTCATACATAACATCCTATGTATATAGCAGTCTTTTAATTTGATGGCCACTTAAGTTCAAACTCATTCTAAAAGCACTACATTTTTCACAACCCTTCTCCCTGTTTTATGCATTTGATAACATACTTTACATCTTTTTACTTTGTGCCTCCCTTAATTAATTATTGTAGCTATAATTCATTTTAGTATTTTTGTCTTTGAATCTTCATCCTAGCTTTATAAGGGACTGATTTACTACCTTTACTATATATTTGATTTGCTTTTATAGGTGAAATTTTGTCTTTCATGTCTCTTTCATGTCTTATGTCCACTCTTACATCACTTTGTCAGCCCTTCAAGGAGCCTAAAACCAAACACAAAAAAGGTCTCATGGCCCTGCTTGCTTTACAGGGTAGGTTCCAACCTGACTTTGCCCTGTGTTCTAAGAAGTCCTTGGATCTTTCTCACTTCCCATTCCTCTCACTGTCATAACCACAGATGAGAGCCAAACTGAGACAAACGGGTAGTTCACAGAACTGCAGAGGGCCTAGTGCCCACAGAGTGGCCTGGGAAGTTCTAATTCTGGAAGCTGAAGTTATTTCTGGAGCCACTTTCCCACTGTCCCTTCTTCATACCCTTTTCCCTTTCTTTGAACTCCTACTTTTTCCTTTTACTTACCTCCTTTCTGAACATATTTGGCTCCTCACTTAGGAGTTCAGTGAAAAAGTCCAGCCCCCGCAGAAGCAGTGTATCTTTCTGCCATGACATCCTTGGCTTCAAATCCCATGCCCCAAAAGCACATTTTTAAACATCTCACTTCCTCTGTAACTTTATAACTCCTGTGTGGCCTTCTGTCCCACCCAGAACCACATCCTTGGTTTTTGAATCTTCTATGTTCTTCAGTATCAACGATATGAACATTCTGTGATCCCAGAACTACTTTCCTTACATAAGGATTCAGTAAATAAGTTATTTAACTGGGAAAGTTTCTAAGTACAATTAATCTATTTTCAAAAACACATAACCTGTATACATTTTAAAGGCACACTCTTAACTGAAATAAGTACATAGATAGATGAACACTTACCCCCTGCAAGGTCCTTTGTTTGAGCCCTTGCCTGCCTCCCATTCTGGAAGAGGCTGTCTCAAGCCAGAGTGTGCACTTTATTCTTTCATGTTGGAGCAGAGTTCACATCCTAGTTACTTCCATTCATATAGTCTGTTCCAGAGTTGTTTCTGAAATGTCAATTGCCTTTTGTTTTTATTTTTGCATTCAGATTATATTCAATGCCCATATTGTATGAGGAGGTTTAATGAAACTGCAGCCAACCGTCACATTAATTTCTGCAAGGATCAGTCTTCTCGCCGAGTCTTTGATCCAGCCCAAACAGCAGCCAAGCTGGCATCCAGAACGCAGGTAAATATCTCTTCCCAGGTGTTGGCTCTTATGATTTTGCATGCCTGAGGCAAGCAGGTAGAATTTGCTAGAGAACCTCAACTACCCATCCTGAGAAGTATAAGGTCACTGTCACTCATCCTTGTGGGAGTCGGCTTCTTTTGAGGCATGCTTTTCACTAACAGCATCTTTCAGTGTTATGAAAAAAATCTTTCTATAGAGTTTGAAGTTTCTTTGGATGAAGACTTGAACATGTTTGTGTGGTAGTGTTTCTATAGTATTATGGTAAAACCTTGTCTATCCAACAGTGGTTATCAGCCTTAACCACCCAGAAAAGAAGTGGGGACCTGAAGCACAGCTGGCTAGAGTGGGTTTGGCTGTCACCAGGGAGAACTGCTCTGCAGGTCCGGTGTTTTGGTCTGCAGAGGAGGTGTCTTCAGTCTTTTATTTAAAGCCATGGGACCATCAAAGTAAGTGAATGGAATCAGCTGTTATAAATATGTTCAAATAAGTAAAGTGACCATCTGACCAGGAAGACAATAGATTTATAAAAACAGACAGCTGGAGCCAGCAAACAGCTACCTACACACCAAGGGTCCCAGGGACATAACTATGAAAACTGTTAGTTTCATAAACATGGCTCAGACACCAAGGAAAGATTAAGTTAGCCTGAATACTTAAAGAGTATGAAACACATTTAGCAAAATTTTCGTGAATGAAATCCAATATGTAACAGGGGTAGGACCCTCTTCAATATTAGTAGGTCCCTTGGACTGAGATTCTGAGCTCTATCTCCACATACATTAGACAGTTATTATCTACTCTGTACCAGGCACAGCAGGGTGTTGCTTGACCAGGCACCTGTATTTCAAAGGATGGGGAGGCCTTGGAAGCAATGCAGTAGGAAGGCATGGAAGCTCACATAGGTGACAACACTGTGGAGGAAGAGGCCAGTGTGATTCATGGAAGGCTTCAAAGAAGAGCACACATTTTCCCCTTGAATACCAGTGGGTTCACCAGCCTAGAGCAGGCATTGGGAATGATGTTGTGCCCACAATATCCAGACTGTGGTCTGAGGAGCCCACCATGAGGGCTGAAGCACACACTGTCTGGGATGGGTAACAGGCAAGGCAGGCATCAGGGGTGGAAGGGCTTTCACTCAAGCTGGTCAGGGGGGCGGGGAAAGAGGAATCAAGTAGATAGATGCCCTAAAATCGGAGGCCAGCCAGACTAAGGGCTTGGAAGCAGGAATTGGAAAGTCCCTGGGGACCCAGGAAGCCCTCCTTTCCGTCTTTCTATCCTCTGTCTTCTTCCCACTATGCTTCTGCTTTCTCTTCTTCAGACTGACTTTCTTGGCTTTTCTGCCCATGTGTCTACTGTTGACCTCCTGTGTCATTTTATGGGCAGTGTAGACTGGTTGAACAGTGCAGACTGGAGTGACATGGAGTTGGCTTCTTAAGAAGGTCATCGTTGTAATTAGTGTTCACATGGATTGGTGGGAGACCAGCTAGGGGCCACAGCAACAGGGAAGGGATGAGGGTCTGGAGTGAGAGGCCTAGTGGGCTGTGTGGAGGGGTGTGTACAGCCAGAACATAAGACAGAATGGTCAGCACTGAGAAGCTGATTTGGATATAGGGGAGAAGGGGACCAGGGTAGACCAGGTTTTTATTAGTTCCAGAGCCTAGGCAGATAATAGTACATCTAGGTAAAGGAGCATGGGAGGGAGGAGATAGGTGTGTGGTGGGGAAGGCAGGGTGGTTATAACAAACATAGTTGTGGAGATTCAATCTTTACACCTGAAATAGCGTGGGAGGCCTGCAATGTAGAAAGAGCCCAGATTCTGCAATCAGTAGTCAGGGTTTGACTCAGTTCTGTAATTTATTATCTGTAGGTAAACATGGACAGGTTCCTTAAATTCTCTGAAACTCACTTTGCCGTGCCAAGTTATTGGGAGGATTGTAGATGCTATCAAGGGCCTTGCACAGAAGGCTTCCCCTGCCTTTGCTTTTTCCACGCTGACCCACCCTCCTCCTCTCTTTGGTAGTCCCTTCCTGTTGGGGGACGGGAACCTCGATTTTCGGGGATGTATGACTGCTTTGGGCTTGAATTCAACTCAGATTTGGAAAAGTGAAACACTACCTATTTTTTCCAAAGCAATAAGGGGTGCATTGCGTTTCCTCGAATGTTCTTCTAACCAGTCCACAAAATTAGGCGGCATCAGTGGGGCCAAAGGGAGCCCAGGAAAGCAGCAAACGGAAGTGCTTTTTATTCCTGAAAAAGGCCAGCTGACCGTCCTGAGTGTAACCAGTGACTTGGCCCTGTTCCTCTCCTTGTTTTCCAGAGCTAAGTGGCGACTGGGAACACAGGAGAAAAATTGCTTGCTTTCCGATTCACTTGCTTCTGGAGTAAGCTCCCTGTAGAGTGCATCTGAACGGCAGGCAGGCCCTCTCCCCTCACGCCAGCCTCACGCTCTGGGGCCCTGCCTAATAGCGAAGCTTATTCAGAAGCGGAACAAAAGGGAGGGGTAGTTTCAGTTTTGAAGGGCTGTTAACAGCCCAGCTGAAATGTGTTTCTATTTTAAACATAATCAACTTTAAACACGTGTTATAGCCTTAACCGAAAGAGACCGGTGTGGACCTCTGAAAGCAGCTTTTTGTGTTTGAAAACACAGATGAGCTGCCTGCTGTAATCTCATAGCCATTCCTGCCCAAGTGAGAAATCTCAGTTGGAGTAACAGGTTTTCTTTATACTGCGGTTTCCATGGAAATGCTGTTAGGATCAGTAACACGGTGACAAGGAGCTGCCGGGGAACCTTTTGGATCTTACTCTGCACTCATGTGATTAGTCGGCTACTGCGGCCCGGCAAGGAGGGGTGGTGGCGTGGGGAGAGTGGAATTCCATGGTTCAAACATTTGCTGCCTGCCAGTGTCTGTTTTTCTTCTCTGTTCATGTATTTAAAAACAAAACCGTCTTCAAGTGTAATGAAAAACTAAAATGTTCCATAACTATCCTTATTGACATTAAATGATTTCTTATGTCTCTGTACAACTAATTTTACAGGATTAACGTATCACCACTCCCCAAAGGACTTGATTATGGAATGAAAGGGCCCAAACCCAGGCATGGCTCTGAGGACCAAAGGGAGGACAGGAACTAGGCCAACTAAGGTGCAGGGTGCTCAGGCCCCCGGAGAGGACTCCGTCTGCTGCTGGTTAAGAGAAAACGACCTTCCTCCCTCGGGACCACCTGAGGTTACAGAACTATCCCCCTCTCTCCCTCTCTGTAGGGTAAGGCTCAGACGGGCGCCAAGAAAGAACCAACTGTAACTAGTGCCGTGGGTGCTCTGCTACAGAACAGGGCCCTGGAGGCCTCAAGTGCAGCTTCAGCTAGGCCAGGTGAGTCAGGGAGCATCTCAGCTGTCCCATGGCAAGGTCGGAGGGGCCGTGGTTGCCTCGGGTTTGTCAGCCGTCAGCAAAAACTGGGACGTGCACTGTTGCTTTGGGATATGAAGATGTGTGGGTTTGTTTGTGGTTATAGCTTATTTGCCAAGAAGGAATATTTCCTGATTTATGGCATTAGATAACTCTGATAATATATGAAGTCAGATCCAATTACAGCAGCAGAGCCTAGAACCATCGTTCTCTGGTCTAATACAATTGACATTGAAAAGAGATTAAGAATGGGGGTAAGTGTGTATCAGGTGTCATAGTGAAAATAAGGGAGGAAAATGAAATCACTCTCTCGAGGAGATATCTGTACTCTCCTTTCATTACAGCATTTTTCAAATTGCCAAGATATGGAAACAACCTAAGTAGATCAAGGGATAAAGAAGAGGTATAAATTGCATGATGGAATATTATTCAGTCTTTAAAAAGGAAGGAAATCCTGCCTTCTGCGACAACATAGACAGACACTGAGGCCATTTTATTAAGTGAGATAAGTCTGAGAAAGACAAATACTATATATATCATATATATATATAATGTATGAAATCTAAAAGAAGTCAAATTCATAGAAAGAGAGAGTAGAATGGTGGTTTCCAGGAATTAACAGATGTTGGCCAAAAGGTACAAACTTCCAGTTGTAAGATAAGTAAGTTCTGGGGAGCTAATAGACAGCATGGTGACATAGTTAACAATACAGTGTTATATATTTGAAATTTGCTAAGAGGGTTGCAGTGTGTTCTTTCATATACAGCAACAGTAACAGTATTATACACAGCAGTAATACAAGTATAACTGTTTGGGTTCCCAGACAGATTCCAATGTGTATATATGTGTGTGGGAGGGTGTGTTGCACATGCAACACCAAGCAATTCTCGAACATCAATAGGGTGACCAAGAACTCAACTCAATTCTGATGCTATCTGCCTAAGACACCCAATTCCCCAGGTTCAGGGCTCTGTCCTACAAGACTGCCCTCCACCCCCCACTCCAGATGCAGGTCGCAAACCCCGGGCAGCCCCCTGTGCTTCTGACCTACTGGCTGCAGATTTGGAGGCTCCCACGACCTCCCCTTTAAGTTGATTAATTTGCTAGAGTGGCTCACAGAACTCAGGAAAACACTATGTTCACCAATTTAGCAAAGGATACAGTAAAGGATACAAGTTAACAGCCAGATGAAGAGCCACATGGGGCAAGGTCCCAAATAAAGGGGCTTCTATCCTGGTGGAGCCTGGGGCCTGGCTCGGTGGCACATGGAGGCGTTCTGGTTCCCCAAGCTTAGAAACTCTCTCTCTGAGAAGCAGGATCCAAGAGAGTGATAAGCTCTTCTCAGGGGTTATCCTAAGGGCTTTATTGCATAGTCATGACTGACTAAATTATTGGCTGTTGGCTGATTCAGCCTCCAGCCCTCTCCCTTGGGAGGGTCCAAAAGTCTCATTAGCATGACAAGACACCCATTTCACCTTTAAGACTGCAGTGTTTCCAGTAGTTATGGATGAAGACCAAACATACCTGGGAAATATATGTTTGGTCATATAAATGACCAAATATGTATTTCTTATGACTCATTATACATCACAAGGGTAAATCTTAAATGTTCCCACCACACACACACAAGGTAACTATGTGTGGTGATGGATATGTTAACTAACTTGGTAATCATTTGTAATATATGTCTTTTAATCAGAGTGTATACCTTAAATTTGTACAGTGTTCAATTCAATTATATCTAAATGAAGCTGGGGAAGAGTTTGCTTCCTAAAAGTAATTAATTTCTTCAAAGTAGCAGAAAGGCATAGCCATCGTTATTGGAATTACTGTGTGGTAGACCTGTTTCATTTAATTCTCACATTAATCTTCCAAATGTTTTACTCTTCATAAAGGGAAACTGAGGCTCAGAGAAGATAAGTTATTTGTTCAAGGTGCACAATTGGTAAAATGCAGAACTGGATTAGATATCTATTGCACTATCCCTCTTCATTGAGCTGCATTAATGTGGCTTTCTTTATGATCAGCTGTGCTATGAAGGCACTTTGAACTAATTCATGACCATATTAGTACCTTTATCAGGAATCTTATTTTGAAGGTATCATCAGAACCAGATAAGAACTAAGAGTCTCACAGTCAATAAAGAAACTGCACCAGAAAGCTTGATTACTGGTTTTTAAATTCCTCATGAGTTGCTCATCATGGGATGAAATTGAATTGATATTTAAAAAATTTCCCCATGTCCTATAAACCTAAATTGTTAGTTTTTTTTCTAATCTGTGAAAACTTAACAGTGGGGGGTAGTTTTCACTTCAAAAAAATTCAAATCCCATGTGTATTCATCTGGCAAAACTTTCATGAACAAGCTTTTTTCTAAAGTATAATGATTTGTGTCCTTTAGAAAAGACAATTTCTTTATATGATATATATCTTTTCTTGTTTTATTTTTAAATAATATATGCCAATGCTTCCCTTCCAGTGAAAAGCACTCCTTTGAGGTTAAAATTTATTTGCAAAGAGGGGCTTTTTCTTAATTCCTTAGGGTTAGATAACTTTGACAATGTGCAAGGTCAGGTCTGAGTACTGCAGCAGAGTCCAGGACCTTCATTCTTTGGCCTAGTAAACGTGTACTGAGATTGGGAATGGGAGAAGACAGGATCAGGTATAGTGTTGAAAAGAGGGGGAAAGCTTCCTTCTTTGGACTAAATGATTTCTTTAAAGTAGCCACAAGGTATATGTGAACAGGTCCTAAATTAGGACTCGGGTCCCAGTAGGTGACCTTCAGCAGAACATCATAAAGACACATTAGAAAATAGATAAGTAGGTCAGTAGATTTAAATAAAACGGTATGTTGTTTGCTGTTGACTAGTGACTGGTGGTTTTTAGCCACTGTATGTTGCCTAGTACAAGGCAAAATTCTTAACAAGGCCCATGCTAGGTTCTATACCACCTCTAGAGCACACCTTCCGCTGTTCATCTCAATCCAGCTCCAGCTCCAGGGGCCCCTGTGTGTTCCTTGAACATTTCAGGTCTGCCTGCATACTCCTGCCTCTTGCACTGGCTGCTCGTGCTGCTGAAAACCAAAACCCCCCGCTAATTAGCACTTCTCACGCCCTCCCTCCCTGCAGTTCTTTGCTGAATATCATCTTTACAGTGAGGCCCCCCAAAACTATAATCTCTTTGTAGTTTTTCTAATAGCATTTATCAACATCTAATATTCAATATATATTTGCTTGTCTCCTAACCCCACCAGAAAAAGAATGTAAGTTCCAAGAAGGCAGGGATCTCTCTACTTTGTCTATTTTTTATTGCACTGCTGTATCCCCACCTGTTAGGATTGTTTGTGGCATATAGAAGGTGCTCAGTAAATACTTTTTGAATGAAACAGAGAAAGTAGGTAACTTGATTCTGTAATGTCTCATTTAAATTACTGGCATATGAATAGAATTATCATGTTAATAGCTTTAAGAGATAGTTTTTTTGTTTTATTTCAGGATTAATATCCTTTTAAATTTTAATTTCTTATTCTTTTCCTGTGGCTTCATCTCCTTATGTTTAAAAATAAAACCACCAGGGTTAGGGTGCCTTTAAATTAGTCACGTTTCATTCAGAGTCATTCTGGGAAGGAAACTGAAGTATACTGAGGGGAGGTGAATTCTCAAAAATGATTAAGGTGTGGAGAAAAGCACTGAGCATCTTTCACTAATGTACACAGGCCTGTGTGTGCATCAGATCTGCATCTAGTGCCTATTTTTCTTTTATTCTGGTTAGTATCGATCTACTCGTAACATGAGGTCTTTTTAAAATTGTTGTTGCGCTTTGCTATTTCTACATTGATTATCAGTAGTTTAGGCCACTTGGTGTTACTCACCTTCCACAGAAATCCAGTTGCTGCCTCTCGAGCTGGTAGCCAGCCCCCTAACACTGTAGCTTTCATCCTTCCATCCTCTTCAGTAAAATAAGCATTGTTTTAACTTCACAGTCATGAGACATGTATGTGTGTAAGCCACAATCTTTCTCTGTTCCAGAGTCTTATGAGAATGTGTGTTTGTGCAGGAAAATCTCTGATACAACAGAGTTTGGGATGTTATGTGAAGTTGATAACACAGTTGCCATGAAGTTCCAGAGGGCTCATTCATTCAACACATAATTATTATGCATTGTTGTTTCTTATGCCCATGGATTCTTACAAGTCTACGGGGAGAAGCAGTGACTAATTATATCTAATATTTAACAGTGGAATGTCAAAGCCCTAAGGAATATAAGAAAGAGATCAACTTTGCCCAGGAGGCTTTATGGAGGAGGTAACAGTCTGAGAGGGGAAGCTTCATGGAGGTGAAGGCATTTGGAATGAGCTTTCAGGATGAACTAGATTTTGACCATTCTGGAGAAAAGCTAAAGAAGGAATGAACAAACATATGAAAATGAGAATGTGGAAGATATACCCTGGAAATAATGGCCCATTGAGCCAAAGCATAGTAAAGAGTTGGGGTGTGAACAGAAATTAAAGTTAGAATGGAAGGCTGGCACTAGAGCAAGGAGGGCTGTAAATGCCCAGTGAGATGCCCAAACTGGATGTGCGTAATGCCAACACTAGTGTCCCACCTTTGTAAGTTACATCTATGTAAGTTAGGCAGCTATGATAGCTTTTCATTTCTAGCCACTTTTAGCTAGTCTACAAAAATTTCTTTTTGAGAAAGAACATTTTTAAGAATAATATAAGAAATTAATGCTTACTATAGAAAAAATTGGAAAATGGAGAAAAAGTATAAAGCAAATAAAAATCATCCATAATTCCATCCTCTGACGTGACCATTGTTAACACTGATAATCTTTTTCCATTTTCTTCTATTTATACACCCTTTATTTCCCCTTTTTTCAGAGTTAGGATCCTAGTCCTTGTACATGTCCTGATTTTTTTAACTAACAAATTTTGGACATTCTCCCTTGGCTGAAGAATTTCTTTAAAATCATTGTATATATTGTAAGAATACAATGTAACTTATTTAGCTATTTTCCTGATGTTGAGCAGGTACATTGTTTCTACTTTTTTGCTATATTAAATAATTTACTTCTTCATGGACAGAAATCCCAATTTTTTATTATTTTTATTCTATTTTTTGGTATCATTAATATACAATCACATGAGCAACATTGTGGTTACTAGATTCCCCCCATTCTCAAGTCCCCACCACATACCCCATTATAGCCACTGTCCATCAGTGTAGTGAGATGCTTTAGTCACTACTTGTCTTCTCTGTGCTATACTGCCTTCTCCGTGGGCCCTCCCCATGTTATGTGTGCTAATTGGACAGTAACCCAAATTTACACTGTATACTCTTCAAAGTACTTCATATACTGAGTCATTTAATCCTCATAATAACACAAGGGGGGAAATGTACTGTTAATAACCCTAGTTTACAGGCAAGGAAAGCAACTTATACAAGTAAGCAACTTATACAACTTATACAATTCCATATATATATGGAATTGTTTTAGAAAAAGGTATGGCTCCTCCTGAATTCTCATGAAGATGCTATTGTTCAGGTGGGAGATGAGTTTATAGTCTACTCTGCAAATACCTACTAGTGGCTATTTTCTTGAAGATTTTTATGTAAGAGAGACTGATTTACTGAGAAGGTACTGCTGAGCAGCAGCTACTCCAGCAACTTTATGCCCAGATACCAACGTCACTATAAAAATACAGTTCTGGGTTCTAGGGCCGCATCACGTCATCTATTCAGTGAATTACGTTTTACGCCTTTGTTGATGCAGGCTGTGCTTTTAGTTCTGGAGCCAGCGGGTTTGATCAGTTAAGCATCTTACCCCCACTAGCATCCTTCCTTACCTAATTTAACTGTGTAGCAAATATAAGTATCAAAGGGTCAGTTGCTGACTCTGGAAGAAATAAAACTTGTAGACCTTTGGTAAAATGAATGCTGAAAGCTTTCCATTCCTGTGTCCTTCAATAGTTCGATTCACAGTTTCTGTGGGCGGTTTGGTTATTCCCTCTTCATAAAACACTGATTAATTAGAGAGGAGGCCTCTAGGGCAGAGGGGACTTGTTTCGTTTTACAAAAAATGATTTCTCTGGGAATCCTGTCTCATACCATCTGGCCTGAGAAAAAAACGTGGTATGGTACGCCTCTGTCTATCAAGTCTTCCATCTCAATACCTGACGGCGCTGCTGGGTGCAAGGGAAAAGAACCTCATTTGTGGAATGAGTCCATTGCTACATAAATAACCTCTGGGAGGAATGGTGTCTCATGCTTCCATAAGGCTTATCAAACCCCTTCTGGCATGAGAGCAGGCAAAGAACTATGTAGGCATGGTATACTCAGGATACATTTTAAAAGCCGGAACAGAATTGCGGAGAGGTGTCGGATTGCATAACGGTGGGCCACCTGAGGTGGGGGTCCGAAGGGGCCATCCTCAGGTAAATGAAGGGCGAGGGGCAGAGAAGAGAGGGCGTGCCTGAGACAGTCCCTGTTTTCCTTATGATCTGGCCCAGGATGGAGACTATTTGTCTATAGCTACAAAACAAAACAAAAAGGAAGAATAGAGACTTTTGAATCCAATGTTAGGATTTCATAATCATTCCATTTTTTCCTTGCTAATGTTTGCTTTTACATAATAACAAATCTGTTTATGTCTACAAAGGATTAGCAGTGGACCCTGCTTCTGGAGCAAAACTCAGACAAGGATTTACCAAAGCTAAGAAAGATTAACTGCTGGAGGCCAGGTAAGAAAAAAAATTAACCCCTAATCCCGGTGTTGCTGATCATCTAATGTGTGAGATCTGGTTAATGTGCCTTTAAGAGAGACTTAGAGAGACCCACTCGGTCGGCAGACCCAAGAAAAATTTGGGCAGACCTTGAGTTGGGTTAACAGAATGTATGCTCTTGAAACTTAACTCTTTTGTTAAACGTACAACTTGAAAATGATACTCAAGCTTTTGATTTTGTGGGGAATGATTCCTCATTTTCACCTGGAAGGCTACTGCCCCATCCCTTTTTCCAAATACAGTCTCCCAGAAAAGACAGTTCCGAGATTGACTGACATTAAATGGGACTCTTGTGGAGACGTTTTTTGATACTGTGAATAGTTTGTCAAAAGAATTAAAAATTTAAAGAGGCCTCTAGTATTTGACCATTTCATTGAGAAAACAATGCAGTTCTAAAGTAAATGCCTGTTCTTTCTGCTTTCAGACTGTCTCCCTGAAACCCAGCAGCCTGACGGCTGGGTACCCGGGAATGCCAACGAGGGGAAGGAAAGAGAGACATCTGCTTACACACCCAAGATTCCTTGTGAGACATCATGTAGAACAAGTGAAAACAAGCTTCAAGTTTTATTCACTCCTTTCAAAATTTTCAAAACAAATCATTCAACAACACACTGACCTGTATGATAATGCTTGTTTTAAAGATTCACTTGAAAAAAATTTTAATTGGATTATTTAATAAGTTTTTAAGGAGAATGTTGCTTCATAGTAAGAACCTCTTACTGAAACAGTCTTTGGAGTATTAGCATATTTACTTACTAGGAAAATGTTTTACCTAGCTTCAGTCTACAAAGCTGTGAAATCCCAGCTTTGAGAAGGGCTTCAACATTAATTAACAACTACTTTTTTTTTAAACGTCCATTTGTATGCATTTGGAATTGTTCACATACACCAATGCAACCAGTGCAGAGTTTTGGGGACAACACTGCAGTGGAGGGAACAGGTTACAATCATCTTCCCACCCTGTGCTAAGGAAGCTCGAAGTGACCTCAGGCCATTTATTTATCGTGGCCAAATCCTAAGTCTACTGTTCATTTTGCCACTGGCTTTTATAGTTCTGTTGGGAGGTGGTATCTCAACGATTCCTTCTCTTTGCCATCCTAAGGGTTAATAAACTTTTTTTTAGAGTCATTTATATTTAATGCATGCTTTTTAATCTTTTTTTTTCTTAAACTCAGGGAACTTAAATAGGGAATTAAGCCATTTTCCCTGTCTTAATTTTCATAGGGCTACCACAAGCTACTCCCACCTGTAGTGTAGCAAATACAACATCTGGAACTCTCAGGATCTGTGTTTTTGGGCTTTTATGCTCAGGTAAATCAGGTATGTTCTGGAACTGACTGCAGACTACTAGGCCATGTAACAGTATTTGTGGAAGCTTCCAAAAATGGATCTTGGGAGGTTTTAGCTTGAGTTAAGCCACTGTTGTCCTCTTGTTCTGGCACATTGCCTTCCCTTGGGGAGGTAAGAGGGGCTATGGGAACTGACTCAGACACCCCAGAGCAGTGGATTCCTAGTGCTGACATAACCTACATCCCTTTGTCTCATTTCTTGCCCCCAGTTAAACTGTAGTTTAAGGCTCGACCATGGCAGTTCCACATAACAGTCAAGCAAGCCCAGAGGAGCTTGTCTGCAATGCCTGTCATTCTTTATGATTGTCAGCATCACTGTTAAGGACTGTGAGCCAGCCCTTAATGTTTCTCACATTTGGCTAATAGGCTTCTTCAATGGGTAAAGGAACTGAGGGCTTCCCTTTACCACACCCACCCTATTTAGAGGTTAAAAAAAAAAAATACAGGCTTGTCAGAGTCAGGAGGCCACTAATCCCAGAAATTAGGCCAGAAATCCCACTAATAGGTAAATTTCTAATTTGTACTGGAAGTTAGATGATAAGCACTATGGTGCCAGTGGATCATGGTAGCCCAGGGTAGACTAAACTTCAGTAGCTGGTATTCTGACCTCTGCATCAGAAATAAATTATGTAACACTATAGGATTCAGAAACTATGCAGTAATTTTTAGAAGTTCTTTTAGTGCTGTGAATTTAAATGAAACATCATATAAGCTTCCACCTTAAATCATAATTTTACTCAAAAAAGGTAGTTTGTAATAGATACTGCAGAGGTCAGAACAGTAGTTTCTGGAGGGGTGTGGGGGAGTAATGACCAGGAGGGGGCGTGAGGGAGCTGGCTGGGGAGCCACAGTGGTGCATATCTTGATTTGATGGGTTATGAGGTACAGTTGAATGTAAAAATTAGTCAAGCCACAAGCAGGATTTGTAGAGTTTATTGTAAGATATATCTTCATATAGAAAGCCTCTAAACACAAAAGACAAAGGAGCTTTAAAAAAAGGTTAGGTTTTATATTTTTAAAACTCATTAGATACCAAATTCAAGAGATTATAGTTACATTGCAAAATGTCATCCTTTTCGAATAAAATATTGACTTAATATTGACTTAAATGATGAATTTAAAATGCATTCATTTATTGGTGATTAAAAATAATACTTAAGCATAGTAGTATTTTAAGCCAGACAGAGCAAAGAAAATTCTTGTTTAATATATATATTTAAAATTCCAGTAATATTTTCTTAAATTCCTGTTAAAAATATAATCAATATTAATGTCAGCAAAATGTTTTTGACTGACGCCTGGATTATTTTACCACTTAACCTGGTTACACAGTGATTTTTTTTTTCTGTCAGATGGAACTGACCACCAGTTTAGTCTTTAAGATAAATGAAGTGATAACTCACATTGTAGCATCTTGTGGAAAATATTCAAACTACATTTAAAATGCTTTTTAAAAATGGAGACGTCTATTATTCCACAAGAAATTGTTTCTGTAAAACTACAGGTTGGCTATGGCAATAGTATAACTAAACTACATCCAACCCTGAAGGTAGAAAATTCCCTGAAAAGAAATACACAGCCTAGTTATAATATGCAATATTAAGGTTATTTTTCTTATTTTAAAAATTTCCCCTTTCTGGAGGAAAAACCTTTAACCTTTCTATAGTTCCCTTACTAGGCAGTGCCACATAAAGTTACTTAGTTAACATTATTCTGACCATGGCTTACGATTAAACTCAATTTGACAAACACCTGTATATAGCAGCCCTCATTTGGATGTCGGTTATGACAATATTTGCAGTTCCATTAAAGAAAGAATACTTGCTTAGGAAATTTGGTACAAAGCATGAACACTCAGGACAGATTGGCACAGTACATGCAGTTCGAGAACTCTCTTATCTCAAGCCAGTCATCACTGAATAAGCCATATTTCCAGTTCTGCTTTCCAGATCTTTCCTTGTATTAAAACTGATGCTTAAAATGCTTCTTAAAACACCTTCCAGAATAAGAAAAGTACGCTTTAAAAAACCAGTCATCTGAATGCATGATGGAAGTGAGGCAGGATGGCAGAACCAGTGCCAGCTGGGAAAACATGGGGGATGGGTGGGAGGGGGAGCTGGCCCAGGCTCATAGTGCTCATGGCTAGTGCGGGATCTTGTTGCTGCTGACCTAGACAGCTTATCCTATGGGGCAGAGATTCCCCGGGCCCCAGGGTGAGAGTGCTATTCCCAAAGGCATTTTGGGTAGCAGCAGGGGGCAGCTGCCAGAAGCCCAATAGGGGGGAAAGGTCCAGAGAGGCAGGAATTGTTAGGTTCACAGCATCTGCAGATAGCTGTTTGGGCAGGTTTACCTTACCAGCACTTCCCTTAGCCAGGTCAAAACCTGGGCTGAGCTTGTGAGGTGACTGAGGCTCTTGCAGGGGCAAGTCCTCAAGCAAACTGATATTGCAAAATCCTTTAGTATCTGCTTTGAGGGGCAGGCTTGCAAGTGGGGAGTATGAGGTAGAACTGGCGTTGTACTTGTGATTCTGGAGGGGTGCAGGAGAGCTGGGAGATGCTATGGGCTGGAGCGGGGCTAGGGGCTCTGGCAGCAGCTGTACAGGCTGGGAGGTTTGCTCCGAGGGGTTGTGGGTGTGGCTGTGTACCTCAGCTGGCAAGCTACTTGAGAGCCCATTCTGCACAGGAGCTCCTAAAGGGAAAGGAGACAGTGTGGCATCCTTCACCTGAAACTGGGGAGAGATGGAGTGCAAGGTGTTCAGAAGGTCGCCAGCCTGCAAGCTCTCTTTCATCAGCTCCTGTGAGTGTGTCTTCTTGGTGTGTCGTGTGAGGTGGTCTTTGCGCCCGAATCTCTGGGCACAGAACTGGCACAGGAAGTCCTTGCAGCCTGTGTGGACCACCAGGTGGCGCCGCACGTCTTTCCGGGTGTAGAAGCATCTTTCGCAGTGGTCGCACTGGTGCTTCTTTTCCTTGATTCCACTAGAGGGCTTTTCTTCGGCGTGGGCTTTGAGGTGGTCCAGCAGCACCTCCGTGCTCCCTAGCTCCAGGGCACAGACCCCACAAGTGAGGTCGCCGCTGCTGGCCGCATGGAGGGCCAGGTGCCGCTTGTAGCCCAGCATGGTGTTGTACTTCTTCCCACACTCCTCACACCCAAAGGCCATCTTGTTAGGGTCATGAGTTTGGAGGTGGTTTTTCAGGTGGTCCTTCCGGTTGAACGTCTTCTCACAGTGAGCACACTGATGAGACTTCTGGGGTGAATGGGTAGCCATGTGCCTAGGAGCAGAGGGAAAGTTTCGTTAATTGACCCAGTTTCTGTAATGGCAAAAGAAGGGTACAGAAACACTGTTAAAATGTTAACCATTTTCTCTATATGGTGGGAATAGGAGATTATGGAAGAGTATTTTAAGAATGAAAGTATTTTCTAGATCCTACAAATAAAATTTTATAATAAAAATAGGCACTAGTAAAGGCATAATGTGATTTAATACCTGCAACATATTTTCCTAATGTTTAATTTAAAAAGAGATTTCTAAACAATGCAAGTATTTAAAAATATGACCTCATGAAAATTTTTCAGAAGGGAGTGTGTAGTATATATTCTATGAAAGTTACCAAATTTCAAAAATGACCCAATTTACCTTCTACACAAAATCCCATTTACCCTGCCTCCACCCCCTCCCCCCACCCCCGGTTTTAGGTCACTGTTCTTAAGTAAAATTCCTGCTTGGTCCTTTTGAGACAAAAGTTCGAGCCTTTGTCTATCCTTAACCTCAGGGAAAGTGTCCAGTTGGACCCATAATGCCAGCCATCAACCCCACCACCTGTGTGCTGAGTCTTAGCCTCATGCCTCCCATGAGATCTCTAAGCCTTAGCTGATAGGAAGGTATTAAATGGAGGAAACTATCATCTCAGATGTGTACAGCCTCTGTCTCCATTTCTTCAAGGTCTCTCTCAGACACCTTCAGCCCACTTCCTGAAGGCCATCTGTAGTTTCATTGGCAAAATTCAAAGGGACTTCTTTCTTCTAGAGGGACTAAGCTGCTACAGCAGTTATGTTTTTCTTTCCCTGAGCTTCAGGGACAAGCCATAGTCATCCTAGTAAATCTGGAATTTCAAAATAGCCATTTCATATTTATATTTGTAAAGCATAATTTGTTTTAGAAAAGCATCACAATTCCCTTTCAGTCATAGTTCCACAGAATTCCTAAATGCTAAGCTCTGTTGGTTTTTCAAAATCCAGTGACATAAGGTGCCCGAGTTTGTCATCCTCAGAGTTTGAACAAGGTTCACTTTAAAAACAGTGTATCATCTAAAACATCAAATCCTACATGTTAATATTACTTATAAAATAGTGCCCTTAATTACAACTTGCAGCCTGCAGGTACAACATAGGTTGTTTCATAACCATTTGAACAGTTAAACTCTTCCAGATGTTTTGCATTCAGAGGCTAAAGCTTGTCCTACTAACAACTTAAACTCAACTGAGTTTGTGACTTTGGATACAAAAGAATTTCTAACAACTTGTTCTATAAAAAAGAATTTCTTTAAAGACAGTATGTTTAAGTCAAAAGTGTATTCATCATACCTTTCACTCAACCTTAACCCTGTATTGTCCATTCCTGATCCATTTCTTAGGGGAAGAATTAGTAAGGGGGCTATAGTAGCAGCTGCTTAGAAGACAGTCAGTCCCTATTAGGAGACTGGAAGCCAGTTAAAAAAATAAAAAGATGATCTGAGTCAAACTGTCAGTTGCCTAAACATAAAGCAAAACTTTGA